TCATGCAGTTCTGAACATGATGTCGCCATTGTCGAGCAGGCACCTGACTCAGAGTCACTGAAACTTCCTTAGTTTACCTGTTACCTGCTAATCCAGCTCAACATAATCGAGGTACAGTTTAATTTGACCCAAATCCTTTTATTAATTATCATATTTTTTAATTTTTACGAATTTCCATACAATGCAACATTCAAATGACGTCATATTTGTTATCAAGGGGAACCCTATGCATGTTTTTCACAAAATATGACACCTTTTTTCCACCATTGCTATTTGCCAAAACCAATATCGAGTGTTTTGTGTATTTCTGCACATTTGGGAATTTGCCTAAATCTAATGCACGTGTATCCGTCGTGGTTTAAACCAGAATTACAAACTTGCTTTAAAAAACCAAGACCCTGCATAAATAGTCTATAAACTATCCATCTAGGCTTCACATAGTAATAATTTGGGATTTCCATCGTTCGTTATGTTTTCTACGGTGATCTAGCAATGCCATTTTTATATAATTTTCAATGAAAATATCGGGGTTTGTTAAAAAAAAAAAAAAAAAAAATCGTCCCATTACATGTACATAAACATTTAATTTCTTTAAATATACACTAAATTATACATGTACATAGAATTAATTTTTTAATAATTGAATTAATCGAATAATTAAACGTTTAACAATATTCTGTTTTTCTAAACGACTCCAAAATGATTGAATAAATAAATAAAAATAAGGTATTCTAGACTTATTGATTTGTAATTAATATTAATTTTATTTCTTGGGAATTTTAATTGTAGGACACTTCACACCATTTCCTAGTCGTGTATGGCAGGAATAATCTTATAAAATTAATGCACTTCAATTTTATTTAGATAGTTCAATGGTTACGTGTGGTGTTTAGTAAACATTGGTCTTGCCCACATTGACCGGTTGACTGGCCTGAGGAGTAATGCAGGGATATCGCCTTCCTAGAAATTGTATCTGTTGTACTAAGGATTATGATCTGGGCTGAAAGTTTAAATTAAATTTAAAAAAAAAAAAAAAAAAAAAAAACCAACTTCATATTGACAATTTTTCTTTGGTTTATAGCAATTTAATCACAAATCATCCAAAAAAAAAAAAAAAAAAAAAGAATTATGGCATTAGTCGGGATGTTAGTTATGCAGATTTTTTAAGTTTAATGTACATGTACATTTGAAAGCAACATATGCAAGGTATATTATAAAATAATGATAATAAATAAATTCCATATACTATTTCTCGGTTTATGTGGACCAGGTTTCATTACAGTACCTTTTCCCTCCATGTACATGTACCTATTCAGTTTTGCATCTGACTATTTAGGAGCCAGCTGTAGCCAGTCTCCTTCAAACTGGTGTATCTCAAAATACAGAAAGCAAAAGTCTTTTCAATTTCAGGCAACAGGTATCATTTCAGCAGATCTGGTCCCCTCCTTTTGATCATATGATTAATTTTATAGCATATATATGTCAGAGTATTATGGCTTTTCTACCGTCAAATGTTATTTATCAGGAATCAGTTTTGTCATCAACTTGCATGGTTGACAGAATCCAATCGACTCATTTATTATTAATAAGATCTGGGTTGGTTACAAGAGATGTAACTAATGCGTCTCAGGATATAAGAAAACTATTATAATACCTATGTTGGATAACATTGTCAGTGTTTTGCCAGATTTGTGTTCTGATTTTGAAGCTGCTTTATTTAAGTCTGCTTTTACATGATTTTGAAGCTGCTTTATTTAAGTTTGCTTTTACATGATTTTGAAGCGGCTTTATTTTAGTCTGCTTTTACATGAGCTTTCTTTGCATTACTAAAAGTGAGTAAAATAGTGGCTTTGGGTATCAAGCATATAATTGTCTCTTGTGATACCATTCAAGTTTTTTGTTACAACATTTTAGACTGGCCAAACTGGTTCGGGAACATGTTTGCATTTTGAAAAATATTACAATATGATTGTTTCAGTCTTTGCAGAATTTTGCTGTATTATGTACAAATATTGATAGGGCGTCTCAATTTTCACATTTAAACTCAAAACCCTTATCCCAATATCAGTTTCCGTCCATCTTAAGGTATTCAATGTATAATGAAGGGATTTTCGACACTTTTAGATAAAGATAAAAGTGAAATGAACCAAAATTCGCCAGACTAATAACATGTACAGAGACGGTCATTTTGCACATTGAAAGTTTCTAAGAGTTACCTGGCCTTGATTAAAAAAAAAAAAAAAAAAAAAAATATTTATCTAAATTTCTTCGGTATTATTCACTTTATATCATATTTTAATAAACAAACAAACGCATATTTTCATCAAGAGATAATACTCGGATTAGTTTGAAATTCAGATTACTTCTTAAAATATCTTTCAAACACATATGCGCTGTCCATAGACTTTAATATTAAAATCAAGGTGCAATTAATTGGTTAGTAATCAACATGTAAATTCCTTGTTGGAACATTTTTGTTTGACAACATCTTCAAATTATGACTAAAATATTGCCGACTTGGCGTAGAACAATAAAAATTAATCAATCAAAATATTTTGCTACCATGATTTAAAATATTGGACTATTTATTTCTTAGGTACAAAATATGATCGTTATACATTGTATAAACTTTAAACAAAGCTTTGCAGTTTTTGAATATTCAGTCAACTGAAGTTAAGACGTACTGATTTTTCACATTGGGGTTGCAACCCACTTGTATACAAAAGTGTTTACAGAGGAAAATATTACGCAGATCGGAAGGTGGCAGTTGGGCGCCAGGGCTGTGTATTGAGCAAAATTGAAAAAAAATTAGAGTACAGGTTCACGTAAGAATCATGCAATAGGTGACAAGTCCATGTTTTCAGAATTATTTCAAATTTTGCATATATGTTAGGAGTAAAGCCAATATCGGAATTATAAACCTATTTTAAGATTTCCATGGTAACTGTTGCCATGGCAACGACATGCAACTTTCTGGGCCAAATGTACTATTTTTCAGAGAAAAACACTGAAATTTTCCACTTTTGAAACTCTCTTTTTAAAAAGATGTTTGGTTAATTTCTCTGTAACTTTTTTTCTATTAATTAACCAACTTATAATCTTCTCAAAACCATTAATTTTTTGTTTGTCAAGGTTTCCTTTTAATTTTGCCATGAACTCAAGATACCAACATAAGAAAAATATTGCAAGTTTTGCAATTTTATCAAAATATCACAAAAGTATGCATAAAAATGACAAACTTCCCAACTTTATTTTAATTCAAGCTTTAAATGAAATAAAAGACAAACAATAGAGACACACATGCCATGAATCTCAAACTTGACAAATTATGGTTACCATAGCAACGGACAATTTAATTTTGCCACATTTCTAAATATTTCAAAAAGTGTTCATGCTTTCCTTTGCTAATTAGCATAAATTTCACAATTTGACTTAAATAATTACTAATATTATGTCATATCTCTTTCATTTATATTTCAGTTGGAAACAAGGAAATATTTTCATGCCTTTTTATTGGAGTTTTTATACTCCAAGCAGATCCTTTTTTGGTGCAAAAAGGTCACACAAAAATTGTATTAGTTTGCATGATTTGTTCAATGGTGAATATTATTCGAACTATTTTACGTAAAATATTATCACACTCATTGTCTTCTGATAAAATATGATAAAGGTTAAAGTGATTAACCAAAGATTAACAATTTTACTGCAACAAGAGGCCCAGGGGCCACATCACTCACCTGAGCTCTGGCTATGTAAAACTAAAAACAAAAAATCAGTTCAGTATTGAAAAAGTTTAAAGTGGGTTCAAGTGGGATCATGATTTGAACAAACTTGAATCTACACCACATAAGGATGCTTCCATATAGCTATGACCAATTATGTTAGTTGTTCTTGAGAACAAGATTTAAAAGATTTTCCCTATGTATTCCCAAGTTAAACATTGAACCCTGACCCCCCATCAAGGCCCCATCCTACCCCTGGGGTCATGATTTGAACAAACTGAATTTGCACTATCTGAGGATGCTTCCATATGAATTTCATCTTTCCTGGACCAGTGTTCCTTGATAAGAAGATTTTTAAAACATGTCATTACTTTTTCATTAATTCATAAGCATCTCCCCTTGGAAGAGGGCATGGCCCTTCATTTGAAGAAACTTGAATCCCTTTACCTAAGGATACTTTGTGGCAAGTTTAGTTGATATTGGCCCAGTGGTTCTTGAGAAAAAAATGAAAATGTGACAACTTTACATCGCCGAGGACAGACAGCGGACTATTTTTGTTCAGAATAGCTCACTTGAGCCTTTGGCTCAGTTGAGCTAAAAAAAGTCAGCTTAATTGTATCTCAGCTCAGCAAGATGCACAGATCCCTTCTGCTCCCTGCGATTTTGAGTCATACTAAACGAGGCTTATAGGTACTTGGAAATAAGATCTGCACCAAAAACATTCACCTGTTCTCTCATCCAGAAAATGTCAGATCTAGCAACTGAGACTGAAGCAAGCCTGGTAATATGCATCCTTAGATGTATATCCCATGCATGTTTGATCAACATAGGGCTTATATACTGTAGGTACTCAGAAATAAGATATGCACAAAAAACTTTCACCTGTTCACTCATAACACATAATCTGAATTTTCTCTCTGACTATAATCAAATTATATTTTAAAAAATAGATACTGGTCAATCTAATAAACATCAAAAGCAACTGCTGCCTTAATTATAAGATCACTGTTACATCTAGAAAAAATTAAATGCTTTAGAACATTTGTAGCACATAACAAGCATATTTATAATTATGAACATCAATGAAAACAAAAGCTAAACATGCTACAGGGATTGTTTTCACTTGTCATAAGATCAAAGAAAAAATAAATAGATACAATACTAGTATTTTCCAAGTTTTTGTCTGCACACTTCTTTTTAAATATAATAATATCCAACAGAACAGGAATCTGGATAGCTGGAATGTGTGAGTGGCAAAATGTCCCTTTCCTTATAAATTTACGAGGCCAAATTAATATTCTCAATCAGTGCATCCTCCTCAATGGCTTCCAAAGCTGCCAGTAAATCTTTGTCATCAAAGTCCTCTGTCACAGGTTTATTGTCATATCCCTTACTTGCCATTCTGGAGAAGAAAGAAGTTATTTGAGCTGTGCTCAACCATTCACTGACACTAAATAATTTGCTTCCATCCTCATCAGTAACAACCCTCATTTCTTCAGCAACTTCTGATGGAACTGCTTTCCTCCCTTTTTTGCCATTTTCATATTTTTTCATCAAGTAGTCCTTCACTTTCTCTGGAAAACGTGAAATCTTCCTTGGTTTTCTAAGACCCCATCCCATAGGTTCAGCTTTAAGCTCCTTTTCAACACTCTCTTTAGAGGACAAAACATTTTTGCAGGTGATTACTACTTCACTACATAGCTGAGCCCACTGAAGCTTTATTTGGTCGAATGTAGATTTTTTGTCTAGTTTCATTTGGTGTTTACCACACAACAAATGAGTTTCTAACCCTCTGTATGTTGAATACTTCTTGGTACAGCCAACTTCTGGGCAATAAAATAATGCCACTGCAGCATCTTCAGCAGTTTCTCTCTCAGCGTTATTTCCAGAAATTTCTAAACCATCAGAATTTTCCTTTGATTTAGTTCTTATTTCTCCCTTCTGCATAGCAGGGGTAATAAAGGGCTCCAATATCAAGCATCCAGACGTGTGTTCCTCATGTTTAGAACTGGTAAACTTCCTGATATCCAAGTTTGACATAAGTAAGCCTCTCCCAATATTATAAGCTTTACGCACAATCATACCATCCTCTTGATAAGTGATACTGCTGTAGTTGTTTACGTTTTTCATCTTGTGGGTACTGAACAACTGTTTTGTTGTATCTATAGCTACATTTGCCACTTGACATCCTCTGACACCTGCGAGTAAAAAAAGAGAACTTTAATAAATTTAGGGTGATCACCAACTGCATGAGACTTGGAATTTCATTGGTTTTCTAACAAATTGAAAACTGACTTGCAATAATTTATTTAAGAAATATACAAAAAGTTTTAAAAATTTCAATGAGAGCCATTGAGAGGTAAATTGGGTCGGTCACGTGATCAAATCCTCTGAATACTGATAGGCCTTCTCAGAAGATTTGATCACGTACCGACCCACTTTATTTCCCTTTGAAATTTTTAAACTTGTTCTTTATTTCTAACAAGTATATATACATTTGAGACAGACAATTGAATATTTTCAAATACAAATCATTGTACTAGCTGTTCGTCACAGATTTTGATAAATTACGCAAGGTGCAATTCAGCTTGAAAGGCAGTTACGTTGAATTCATCAAGGAAAGGAATCCATTTAGAGGGGACATATTTTTTGAAAGGTTCCTTGTAATCAGTAACAGTGAATGGATTGTTGTCTGGGAATATTTGTTTTCCTGAAAATTCATAATCAAAGCTGAAAAAGGCACAGAAACAAATTAAGTTTGGAGATTGATGATAAAAAGTTTGAGGAATTTCAACTGTTGGGAAAAATGGGAAAAGAATGGATTGATTGAATGGATGGAGACACATGTCCAAGCCAGTTACTGTATAGGGGGAAAATAACTCGCGGTGTTAATATTCGCTATATTCACGGTGTTAACAAAGCCTTGAATTCAAGAAACAGTGAATAAATTTTAAATAATCTCCATGTTTATTTGGAAAATTGAGAATAGACTACGATAGATTTATATAGGTGTTCGTGCAGTCCATGGTCATTTCAGTAATTGCGAGTAGTACTGTCATTCAATTAATTCTAATTATCACGCTTTACTTTAATTCAAATTGGCATATAATAATTTGTGTTTGTTCAAAAGCTGTTTTAATAGCCAACGCTACATGTTTCATCAATCATAACACATGAACCATGGGTTTTGATTACCCGTGCGTAACTAATGTTTCCACGTGTATTTATTACCTGCATTCTCATGCATATTAGTTCATGTATTTTTTATCGACATTTGGTTTTAAAAAATCATCAAATAAATATGGAACTTACTGACGAAGGAAGTGTGGAAGGATATTATTTCGTAGAACTACATAAAAAGTTTTATTTCCGTCCAGTGGTTTTTCGCCGCGTTGTATTGAAGATTCCGGGTGCACATGAACTCATCGTAATAGCATATAGGAAATTCATTGAACGTTTAGGGAATATTAAATACCTGCACTTATGTTAATTAATTATTTATAAAATCTAACAATTTTATAATAACTTACCCTGTTGTTCGTAAAATAAAGACATAACGCTGATTAATGTCGTTTACATGTAGCTATGGTATGGATTAAATGGAGACAAGGGAAGTAACTCTTATTACCAAATTCCGCGAATTCAAGAAACCGCGATCGTGTCAGATGAGAGAAAAACGTGAAAATTACAACCCGTGAAATTAATCCCCTATACAGTAACTTGAAATAAAGTATAAAGTTTGATCAAAACCATTAAATCTGCGATTGCAGTAAGTCATATTTATTATATAGACAAAGAGAAACTCGCGACAGCTTACATTTTTATGACAACGCCGAAGGTTTTGGGGTTTTGACCTTGATCCTTGATCTAGAAACTTTGTTTAAGGTCAATGCACATTCATTGACCAGTAGCAGTCTGTCAGTGAATTATGAGCCACATTGGACCAAGAGGATAGAAGATATGCTCCAAACAAGGATTTTCCATGTAATTCTGCTAATTAGACAATCTATGTTCAGTATAAAAATCTTTGTACCTGAGCCAGCATCAAGTGCATGTTTCATGTCTGATGCAGTTAAGATGTCATGCCCACTTGCTGCATAGCTCTTCATTTTCATTCTCATGTGCGCTATTTTGGAATCACAGTATGATTTCCCTGCCTGTGGCTCAGAGAAGCAGTATTCTGCTATGGAAATACCTAAAACATAAATATATGCACATAAATTAAATGTGCCCAAATCCTTGTTTAAAACAAGAGGCCCAGGGGCCACAGCGCTCACCAGAGCACATTGGCTTGGAAAAAGCACATATCAGATCAGAAAGGAAAGTTAAAGGGGGGGGGGGGGGCTTAATTTTAACCCCCCCCCAGGGGTTCATGAACAAACTAGAATCTACACTACCTGAAGATGATTCCATATTAATATCACTAATCATAGCTTTGAAGTACTTGAAAAGATGATTTTAAAAGGTTTCCCTATAAATCCCTATGTAAAACTTGGGTCGGCCATTTTGGCCCCACCCTTGCCCCGGGGGTCAAGATTTGAACAAACTTGAATCTACACTACCTGAGGATGATTCCACATGAGTTTCATCTTTCCTGGCCCAGTGGTTCTGGAGAAGAAGATTTTTTAAAGATATTTCCTATATATTCCTATGTAAAACTTGGGTCGGCCATTTTGGCCCCACCCTAGCCCTGGGGTCATGATTTGAACAAACTTGAATCTACACTACCTAAGGATGACTCCACAAGAGTTTCATCTTTCCTGGCCTAGTGGTACTTGAGAAGAAGATTTTTAAAGATTTATCCTATATATTCCTATGTAAAACTTGGGTCGGCCATTTTGGCCCAACCCTACCTCCGTGGGTCATGATTTGAACAAACTTGAATCTACACTACTGACAATGATTCCACATGAGTTTCATCTTTCCTGGCCTAGTGGTTCTTGAGAAGAAGATTTTTAAAGATTTTTCCTATATATTCCTTTGTAAAACTTGGGTCGGCCATTTTGGCCCAACCCTACCTCCGGGGGTCATGATTTGAACAAACTTGAATCTACACTACCTGAGGATGATTCCACATGAGTTTCATCTTTCCTGGCCCAGTGGTTCTTGAGAAGAAGATTTTTAAAGATTTTTCCTATATATTTCTATGTAAAACTTGGGTCGGCCATTTTGGCCCAACCCTAGCCCCGGGGGTCATGATTTGAACAAACTTGAATCTACACTACCTGAGGATGATTCCACATGAGTTTCATCTTTCCTGGCCCAGTGGTTCTTGAGAAGAAGATTTTTAAAGATTTTTCCTATATATTCCTATGTAAAACTTGGGTCAGCCATTTTGGCCCCACCCTAGCCCCGGGGGTCATGATTTGAACAAACTTGAATCTACACTACCTGAGGATGATTCCACATGAGTTTCATCTTTCCTGGCCCAGTGGTTCTTGAGAAGAAGATTTTTTAAAAATGCCATTAATTTTTCTCTAATTCATAATTATCTCCCCTTGGAAAAAGGCGTGGCCCTTCATTTGAACAAACTTGAATCCCCTTTACCCAAGGATGCTTTGTGGCAAGTTTGGTTGAAATTGGCCCAGCAGTTCTTGAGAAGAAGTCGAAAATGTGAAAAGTTTACGGACAGACAGACAGACAGACGGACAGACAGACAGACGGACGCCGGACAAAATGTGATCAGAAAAGCTCACTTGAGCCTTCGGCTCAGGTGAGCTAAAAATTAAATCAGTGCAATTATGCAAACAGGTAAAATGTATACGTGTAAGGTTTAAGAAAATGTATAACTATACTACTCATTAAATTCCACTTGACACTAAAAGAATTTGTTAGATATGACTTAAAAATCCCAATCATGACTTTTAAATTGGAATATTTTAACGTACATGTATATAAAGGCACAATCATGTAAAATGTTCATGATATGGAACTTAAATAGGAGTTATATCTAGCATTGTTATACCTTTAAAAATTTGTTCCTATATAAATCTATATAAAAAAGTTTCTGATGTTTTGCCATTTTCAAACAGATTTTGGCTACTTCGTTTAAAAATACATTCGAAGACATTGCCTACGATGTTCACAGGCTGATAAGCAATGGATAATGCAGAACTTTTAATCAGACATGGAAAATATACATGTGATTAAAAAAAGATATCTTTATGGTAAAGAAAATTCCAAAATAAAAATAAAAGAAAAACCTCCCTCATCTACTTTATTGCCAATAAATGATCAATAAAATGCCTCCCTCTCATATCTGTTTTTTGCGAAAATTGGCCTGAGAACCACAGAATTAAATTTACATAGCCTTAGTTAAGACTGCTTGAATTACCTCTCTGACTTGCGCAGTCTCTTGGTCTTTAAACTTCATCTTCATGTCCTGATAACATGGTTTACATAATCCTACAAATAAGAAATTAATAATATAATGGAATTTTGAATAGGTTTACTTGCTGCTTAGTGCTTACACACATATGTAATTATGCATATTTGCATGTGTAAAAATTTACATATTTTTACATTAATTTTTTTTTTAATTCTCCATGAACATGTATCTTTCTTATCATGGTATTGATCATGTTTAGATAAATTTCAAGGCTAAAACAGTATAACCTCTCTCCTTTTGATATTGGGGTGATATGAAGTCCCTATCTCCTATGGTTTAAAAGTTATAGCCAAAAGTGTAAAAAGCTATTTTTAGCATATAGGTCACAGTCAAGGTCATTGACCATGGTGTCTTTTGAAAGAACTTAATCAGTATCTGAAAGTGTACATCCCAAATATAAAGTTCCTATCTCCTATGGTTTAAAAGTTATGGCAAAAAGTGTAAAAGGCTATTTTTAGCATATAGGTCACAGTCAAGGTCACAAGGTCATTGACCATGGTGTCATTTGAATGAACTTAATCAGTGGAGTATGCATCCCAAATATCAAGATCCTATATCTTATGGTTAAACAGTTATGGCAAAAAGTAGAAAAAGCTATTTTTAGCATATAGGTCACAGTCAAAGTCACAAGATCATTGACCTTGTTGTCAACTGAAAGGGCTTTATTAGTGGAGATGCATACCAAATATGTTTATATTTCTCCTATGGTTTAAAAGTTATGACAAACAGTGGAAAAAGCTATTTTTAGCATATAGTTCACAGTCAAGGTCACAAGGTCATTGACCTTGATGTCATTTGAAAGGACTTTATTAGTGATCTATCTCTTTGTTCAAAAGTTATGGCCAAGGTTACAGTTTGACAACAGACAAACAGATAAACAGACAAACAGACAGGACAAAACTTCCAGATATTCACTAGGCATAAAAAAATCAGAAATGCATGTAATACAGTAACTATGACAACAGGGGGATTCTTATAGTTATACATGTACCTGATATGTGGCCTTGTTAGTCCAAACCCTTCATATCCAGTTGATGAGCTGTGGCAAATTCAGCAATGACACATACACATGTATCTAGATGGTCTAAATAGCTATGGCAAACAGATTTCTTAAAATGAAGAATTTCTCAATAAATTTACAATTACAAAACAGAAATACGTGTAATACAGTAACTATGATAACAGGGAGATTTCTTATAGTTATACCTGATATGTGGCCTTGTTAGTCCAAACCCTTCATATCCAGTTGATGAGCTGTGGCAAATTCAGCAATCAACATATACAACATATACACATGTATCCAGTAACTGGGACTCAATAGCTATGGCAAGCAGATCCACATGTAGACTGAAATAGAAAGATTTCTTGATAAATT